GATAGCGGGACTTAGTTCATGTTGTACTGTGCTAGTTGTCGTGGCAACAAGGCCATAGGCGGCGAATATCTGGTATTGACATCTGTCAGTGCTTATTGTTGTGCAGCAGTCGTTCTTTGAGAATCTGCACGCACCTCGGGCAGCAGATGACCGGACCGGTCGGCGACACAGAGACTGGAGTGAACACCCCATCGAATTCGCACGCTGTGCGATCTCCCCCGTCAGCTACGCAAACCAGAGTGCATATAGTAGGCAACACCTAAGTACACGCTATTTTACTCCACCACTTGTTTATTAATCATTCTACCTGGTAAACGTATTGATGGCAGTTGCGTCACTATTGCTATATCGGTTTCGTTCAAATATTGATGCCCAAAATTTAAGGCTGTTATTTATGTTCACGTCTAAATGTTAAAGAAAACAGCAACAGTTCCTATTGGGTACTTATTCTCATATGTGCGAAAATGGCTGTCAGCCTGACCTCCAAACGAAACCCACGCACGTTTTTAGTACTATTGTTCATGAGGTTTATCTGTCTCTATCCAGTTTGTGGCAGTTCATCCTTAAGTTTAGACAAACGCATGTGCATATGTTGTATTCGAACTACCATTGAACACGGATGACGCCAATCCATGTATACCGAAAGGGCAGCAGGGCGGCAGGGCAAACCGAAAATAACATGAACGTGAGTTTATGACGAACTAATGTTGATTGCAGGTCATGTGAATCTAGGGCAAAGTGGATCGGTGCGAATTCCGTGAACTGTTCCAGAGTGCGGTTGCTCAGGTGCAGGAGAAGGCACTATTGCACGCGGAATAGAGGCACGATGCGTACACTCCCATTCCATTTACTAATCCAGGCCAATAAGGTGGCGGATGTGGTACGTTTGCCTGCGTGATGAGTATTCTTACATTTCAGAACTAGTTGTTGATTGAGCTCCCCGGTGTGTCTGCGCCTGATGTGAATGTTGACAAGGTACCTACCCGTCTAATACCCTCCACCTCGATTGCTGGCTTCAGGAGACAGTTGGTCGTTGCTGGAGGGGACGGGAAGCACCGTCCTCGTGACGGTTTATGAACCAAACGCTTCAGTTGAGGATCATAATCGTTCTCTTGTCTAGATTTTGATAATCTGACGGTATCCTGCGCACATAATACAATGACCTTATCTTCAAACAATTTCTTGGGGTTCTGGCCGTCAAAGAGGATAATCAACGACGCCCAATCTTTTGTTCTCTCTCAATTTGCTTTGATAGTCGTTTGTAATCTATTTTCGACTCACACGTAATAGCAGGACGTCGCTCCGGTCCGGTCGACGAGTCTATGTTCAACCAAGAGGAGAACGTCGGCTTATCCATTTCTATTTGGAGCCCTCGATCCTCGCTAAGACTGGTATACTTCAACTTACGCACCTTGTTACAGATTGGCCAACAAGCAGCATTTGCCAAAAAATAGAGACCCAGTTAATCGATCTTTGCTGCTTATCAGAAACCCGCCTACAACATTCGAGCACTGCGTTTACCCAGCGATCTTCCTCATGTGATGTTGGCGGCACCTTCTCATGACGTACTTTCAGCTGCCGGTCAAGCTGGTATAAGCATTGTTATGAGCCACCGGGCGAAACTTGTTTTGGTCGATTGGATCCCAGTCAACAGCACGATTGCGCCGTCAGATTAGCCGGCTACTTCAAAGCTGCCTACGCTCCCATAAATTTATATCACGAATAGAGTGAAATACGACTTCCACTATCAATTGAACGAGCCTATTCGTCACAAAAGAAGCGCGGATACTGTGGTGCTAGCTGGTGGTCTGAACACCCAAGTTGGAAAATTCTCCACTGATGATCTTCATCTGGGCGGCCAACACGGTGTAGACTCCAGCAATGAGTGGTTGCTTCACCTGTGTGAAGACCCTGATCTGTTTATCGTGAGTACTAATTTCCCGACACAGCAACCGCAGTCGATTGACTTGGAGATCACCGACCTCAGACCTGCCATGGACTCAGATCGATCATATGACAATCAGTTACCGTTTGGATTCTATGTCCAGAAGTGTCGCTCAATTTGCAGCACGAGCGTGGACTCGGACCATACACTCGTTGGTGCCTGTCCTACTGCTCGCTTCGGCGGGCGCATGCGGCGGCGCTATGAACGCAAGCTATTTGCCACCTGACGAAGCCAAATGTTTCAGATACGTATCAAAGTGCGCTGCCATCCGAACTGTGTAAGCGCCTTGTGAACACCGTGAAAGTCCACTGGTCGCATATCCCCCAGACGTTATTAGCATCAAGCATATCTTCATATAGCAAATCAACTTGCCAACCTGAACACTGGGTCTCGGCGCAGTCTCAAAAACTGTACGCTCTCCGACGTTCCGGCTGGAAGCGAATGCCATGCGACTCGCAGTGACCTCAGGGCAAAACTACGTTCTAACCTGAAGAGAGACTGCGAAGTGTGGTAGCATCATCATGCATCGAAGACAGGGACAGCCGCTGCTCTTGGCAACCATCGGGAGTTATTTCATCTGCTACGATAAAGGGGCAGCTGGAGACTTGGTGTTAGCGAGAACATACGCGACGAGAGTGAATAGCCAATTCACTGCTTGTCAAAACACTTGGAGCGTTAGGCCCAACGCCTAGAAAAGCAATTTAATCAACCAGAGTTGCGATCTTCCTTAACAGCCATTGACCGCCTTTCTTCCTGGGTCGTCCCCTTCGGATCTGCACTCACGCGCAGACGTCGAACTTGAGATCTGGAGATTGCAATTGAATAAGGCCGCAGAAGCAGATAGACTCTTTCCATCTCTCTTCACATTCGGCGAACCTGCTCTTATGGATGACTTATATAATTTTCGGAGCGTTTCTTTGTCCCTTACCCTCTCGCTTAACTTCCCCTTCCAACCACGATCTCACGTGCTTCGTACAATATGACACAGCATTATTATATTTTCTTTTTGTTTCAGTTTTTGTATCTATAATGTTTGGTATTTACTTTTTACATATACATCCTTGTGCACATTAATTGAAACAAACTGCGATTGTGTCTCTTTTTCTATGAATATCGTGTTTTTATACATGAAAGCTGCCCTTTTGGCATTTATTTTTTTATTTTATTTCGGGAATAGATATTTCATCATTGTTTGTGAATCAGACGATGTAATAACTGCGCATGTCTAGTCGTTACATCACCCAAGATTGCGTCATACTTTTTATGGTTAGTAAGGTTTTTGTTTCAACTTCTTGTTTTTTTTGTGATTCAGTCATTGTTTGAGATGGACGTGACTCCCAGAAGGCGCATGAAGATCGTGACCTTGCACGAACACACAGACAAGACCTACAGGGACATAGCAAGAATAGTAGGCGTCAGTCCGGCAACCGTCAGCCGTGTGGTCAAAAAGAAAAAGGAAACGGGATGCATTTCGCCAAAACGCAAAGTGAAATGTGGTCCTAAGAGGAAAACCACTGCCAGGGATGACGCTTACCTAATACGAGAAAGTGTTAAAAATCCTCGAAAGATTAGTGACGCATTAAAACGTGATTTGGGGGAGAAAGGAATAGAAATCAGTTCTTCAACGGTTCGCAGGCGACTCCTGGAAGTTGGGCGGAAAGCCAGACGGCCTGTGAAAAAACAACTTCTGACAAAAGTAATGAAAGTTAAGCGTTACAAATGGGGACTAAAATACAAAAACTGGACAAAAGAAGGTTGGAGAAAAGTCCTATTCAGCGATGAAAGCCATTTCTATGTTCATGGTCAGAGAAGTCAGTATGTTCGGAGGTCAGAGGGGGAAAAGGTTCGTGATTCCCACATTGACCACTTTGTGAAACACCCACAAAAGCAGATGTTTAGGGGGTGCTTTAGTTATTACGGCGTCGGCGTCTTGCATCCAGTCCAGGGCATGATGCGCTCTCCACAATATATAGAAATTCTCCAAAGAAGAGCTGTTCCAGAACTAAAAAAGACATTTCCTGACGGATCTGGCGTATTTCAACATCTTGGGTCCCTGTACCAAACTTGAATTAAAGCTTGAATAAGTTTCTCCTTTGTCGTACAGTCCATGCCACGAAGGCGTTGCTTGCAAATAGACCACATATTTTCAATGGGCTTTGAATCTGGTGAATTCCCAGGCCAGTCCAAGATGGTTATTTGATTAGTATTGAAAAAAGTCTTGACCATTTTTGATGTGTGGCACGGGACCAGATCCTTTCTCCCCCAAATCACGTTTTAATGCGTCACTAGTCTTTCGAGGATCTTTAACACTTTCCCGTATTAGGTAAGCGTCATCCCTGGCAGTGGTTTTCCTCTTAGGACCACATTTCACTTTGCGTTTTGGCGAAATGCATCCCGTTTCCTTTTTCTTTTTGACCACACGGCTGACGGTTGCCGGACTGACGCCTACTATTCTTGCTATGTCCCTGTAGGTCTTGTCTGTGTGTTCGTGCAAGGTCACGATCTTCATGCGCCTTCTGGGAGTCACGTCCATCTCAAACAATGACTGAATCACAAAAAAACAAGAAGTTGAAACAAAAACCTTACTAACCATAAAAAGTATGACGCAATCTTGGGTGATGTAACGACTAGACATGCGCAGTTATTACATCGTCTGATTCACAAACAATGATGAAATATCTATTCCCGAAATAAAATAAAAAAATAAATGCCAAAAGGGCAGCTTTCATGTATAAAAACACGATATTCATAGAAGAAGAGACACAATCGTAGTTTGTTTCAATTAATGTGCACAAAGATGTATCTTATTCTTTCGCACTGCAGCACAATGGCTGTGTTTTCACTTTCAGCTAATGTGCATTGATGTTGATCATGATGAAGACTGCGCGATAGGTATGTTTCAATTCCGGTGTAGCACAAATGCAACCGTGTGACACGGCACATGTGCATAACCGTACTCGATGTTTCTAGGCCATGCACTGCGTTTAAAGTAGTGTTTGTTCATCATGTTTCCTCATTTGCGTCTTATTTTCTATGTTTGTTGCTCCTGTCGCAGTCCCTCCTCCGTCTGTTTCCCGTGATGCCGCCATCCCTGGGATCTCTGCTACTGATGTTGCCGTCTATTCCTCTTCGGCCTCAAATAGCGGTCGTTGCGTAAGTCACACGTGAAAGGTGAATACTAAGAATCTCCTTACTGCCTACTGGAATAATTCTGGCTTCGGTTCCGTAATTGTAGGTTTAGTATTTATCTTTTGAATAGACATATTCTACTGCTCTCTTCATTTAATACTATATCAACCTTTGGACCCACTAAACAAATAAATAAATGAGTATATTTCCCAACTGGCTAGATACGTTCTCTTATGTGGAACAATCAGAACAGTTCTCACCTTGATCTGATACTGTCTATCTGTTCTGCTCTTCAGGCGTTCTTTACGATCCTTTTTTTTTCTTTCTCAGTACCGTTCACGTCCTTGTTCCCGCTCGAGACGGTCTCCACATACATGTGCGTCACCATTTCGCCGTAGACTCTTTGATCCCTCCCACAAATTCACAAGTAAGTTCTTCCGTCCACCCTGAATTTCCTAGCTAACTGCGTCATCCTCCTTTGCTCTATCCCATCTGTTTGTTATTGCTCGAGTGCATGCTGCTTGTTTCTTACTTAGACGACCACACTTCAGTTTAGTGTCGCCCTTGTTATTCTGAGTTTGGTCGAGATCCCATTAAAGTTGGACATGAACCGGTGGATCAGATTGAGTAGCAAATAAAAAAGTATGTTTCCCTATCACCGCACCTTTCTACTACATCGAATGTGTTTTGTCGTTGCACCGGTTTCTTGCGAGTGCGAAGATCCACAGGTCATTGCACCATTCGCAGCTTCATTCACTTGCTCCATACCTTGTTTGACGACTTCATTCGAGGCTGATGCACAACTATGCGTGATACCACGCAGCGCCCTCACATGCACCGCACACCACAAGAGGATGCGCGCATTATCCAAGGTTCTCACTCTAACTGGATCGCTGCCTGGTGTGGATCTTGTAAAGGGTGCATACTGACCCTACTTGGGAAGTTGACTTGACCTTAGACTGTTTCAGGGTGCGAATCTTCTTTTTACGGTTCCAATGTATTCTATCTGTACCCCCCCTCCTTCCAGCAAAGATGCAGTTTCTTAGAGCTAGTGTTAGGCGTGACCGTATCGGGTTGATAATCACTGTGTCAGTATTCGCGCCATCCATATGGCGAACCCTGTGCAACTTTGTGGTGAAGTTCATGCATTCCACAGCACACATTTAACGATACTAGTATAATCCAACTTCAGCGACGATGTGATGCCGCATGAGTTTTACTGGCGCCGTAGATCCGTGTCCCTCAGCTGTGATGAAACTCATCGCACGAGGTGATCGCTCCATATCGTGCTTCGAATTTTTCCGCATTTTCTACGTGACATTTTATCGCATGTCGCTGGGTTTACACCTTTTCGTCTCGGTTTGACGAGGTCTATTTACTGAAAGCATTTTTGCTAGAATAATTTCCGCAGAAGTTATTTCTGCCGGATTTACAAATTTGGGCAATATTTTGCCCTTATTCATTCGTTAAGTTTTTCACAGTTACAATCACCTACGCAGGATTTTTGACTCTTTCAATAAACGAGTCTCCTAACTTTCGATCAAGCTTCCATTCGTCTCATTCCATCATCGTATTTTACGGCTACAAAGCAAACTACGTTCCCATTGTGAAACCCTCTTAAGGAAGTAACCGTCAACTTTCACCGCTTCTGATTTCAGCAGGTGCGATCAACCGAGCTGTCCAGCACACTGCTTGTCTACACCAGACGCCTTACTTGCGTTCTTAGAACGCACGGACGCAACACACAAAGCCCGATGAGCCAGTCATCTGACTTTACCTGACGATCGGCCACCACGCACTAGTCGACGGTGAAGCGATGCCTACCCCCCAAACAGGCCATTCGGCCATCATGGCCACAACACTGGTAACCCGAAACGAAATATTTTCTGCTAATCAAACATATACTAAGTTAGTAATAATACTAATGTAATGTGTCAGCCTTACGCCGTAACTGCGCTTCGCTGCCGTGCGACCACCACCAATTGCACGCGGGCTGAGTATACCGCAAGGACGCCCACCCATATGCGAATTCGAACCCGCGCCGCAAGAGTACGAGACCAGCTAGTTACCTCTAGGCTACGGACCGACATTACCTCTAGGTTAAGGTAGTAAAAGTAAGCTTGAATGTCCCCACTACATCAGCCGTTATCGAAGTGCGTCAGATTCTGTCTAACCGAAATAAAGAAATAGAATAGTACGCCGCACTCACTTTGATTCTGTCTAGAGTGTATGACCGTTCCACCTGTAGTGTGTGCTGACATTAGCACAGCAGTACGACAGTCTAGTCACCGAAATTGAACCTCGTTTAACTGCGAAAAATATTTCACTTGAGGCAAAAATAGCACATCTCGCACCTCATCCGTTTCCTCCAATTGCTACATCTAAAAAAGGCCAAGCATTCCCACGGCCTCGAAGTACCAGCAACTTTGGGAACCGCGAACCAAATCATCATCGTGTACTATCGAAACATACCCAGCTCCACCGTCCACATCCTCATATCCAATCTACCGATTGATGCAACACCGGGAACACACCTACTCATCCGATTGACCGACCAAATTCGAAACTCTAAAGACCCACTTATGCAACCGTTGCTGCTCGATATAACCAGAGTGCGACTTAAGTATCCTCACTCTGTACAGCCACAACATTGGTCAAGGACCAGATGCAACCAGCACCAACGTCACCAAAATCCTCGATAAACGTGCCTTCCACATCACCTAAGATCGGGCGGAACTACGGTGCCTTGACACGTATTTGCACCAATGTTCCTGAATCCAAGATAAACTCCTTAAGGGATGAACAGCGGAATGCTTTAAAGCAATAGAATTTCCTTTCTGATAGAATCGGAGTTCAGCCCAGACTGACTAAAGCAATACGAGTCACTAGACATCCAACCACGATTCACTACGGCGGGTCCCGGCTAATGCGAATAACAGTGGGGTCCACTGATGATGTCGAGTTGGTGCTTTTGTCGGCATACCGCCTGCGGACTGAAGATAGTGGGATACGCATGTTCCTAAATGTTCCATGGAGCGAACGCCTGCGGGACGAAAATAATTCAAACGACTGTTACACCGAGAGTGGCAGACAAATCAGTTTCGTTCATGGCGTGCCCGAGCTACCGGCATCTAGCGACGAAGAAGCCCATGCACATGACGTCGAAGAATGACGGTACATCTGCGAAGCTGTCTGCTGGCGACATTGTACTTCAGTCGGTTACGCGGTTATCCATGTCACAACACTACAAAGGCAGTGGCTCGAGGATATTGAAACTACTAATTCAGTCACAGCAAATGGCGCTGGCAGATACTACGCAACAACTTCCTTCGGAACTATATTTAAAGACAGCGGTTAGAGAACCGCAGCCACTCGCTAACAACGCGGAAACGATTCAGAAATGTGTGTGGTTATACCATTTGCTATCGAGATACCTAAAGACGGACTACATATCGCAGGTGCCAGTGTGACCAAAAACAGATTTCATTTATTTCTTTGGCAACTCACCCAATAAATCATTAGGTACCGGCATGTCATCGGTCGGCACAAATCCACATCTTCCTCAAGAGCTTTTGACATCCAGAAGCTTTCATGTATATGCACCACTGCACAAGGCTTACTTAGTAAACTTCCCGAATTACGACTTCGTCAAGGATCAAAGGCCTATGACCTGATCACTATAACGGAGACTTGGTTACACCTCGACATAATGACGACGACGTGTCAGCTGTACGCCGTAACTGCGCTTCGCTGCCGCGCGACCACCACCAGTCGCGCGCGGGCTGAGTATACCGCGAGGACGCCCACCCCTACGCGGATTCGAACCGGTGACCTTATGGTTGCAAACCAAACGTGCAGACCACCTCGACATAAGTGACATCGAGACCGCACTGCCAGCATTGTCCATTGTTCGGCGCGATCGACCCAGCAAAGATGGAGGGGTGGCTCTGTACTTCCACAGTGACCTCCAATGTGAGCCCATAGAAGATCCGGTCAGAACGGTACAAGATTCCAGTTGGTGCCGTCTACGTTTAACAGGCGACGACGCCTGCGTGGTGACGGTCGTTTATCGCCCTCTCTTCCACGCTTTAAGACGGGTGATAAACTAGTAGTACTGTCACATTCTCATTACTGGCGATTTCAACATCCACTCTCTGGAATCCCAAGCCGCTCCTGGAGAACAGTTTAAGGCGGATCTACAAGAGTTTGTCTCCAGTTCCCCGCTGTATGGCCACATCAACACTCGCCAGATTCAGAGAAACAGACAAGCCTTCTACACTGGATCTGATATTCACCGACGAAGAACTGACGATCGAGAGCATACTCGTCTACATCCCATTGGGCCGCATCGATCATGTAGTCCTACTCTTCGCATATATCTGTTATGCAAAATATCCCGTAGCAATTACCGACGCAACGAGGACAGTTTTCGCTACTACATATTATATTAACTCGGCTAGGTGAGACAGCCAACTGGAGGTTTTTGACGGACGAGGCGCTGGCTAGCGCGTGGGAGCATTTCGTCAGCCAATTCAACACTCTGGTTGCCGAAGCATCTAGTCATCAGCGAGTAAGACCTCCCACCGAAGAAACGTGGTCTCCTTTGTGCGAATCAGGATACGCAAGTGAGAAACGCGGTGTGAAACTCAGCCTGGAATATCCATAAACTCTCTCCGAGCACCGAGACCTGGATGACCTATGCGAGCTAACGTAACCACTCTACACAACTTATTCGCGAGGTTAAAATGACATACCAGCAGAAATTAGCAATGCGTATGGCATCAAATCACAAGCTTCTGTATCAACACGTCAATAGTCTAGGTAAGCGAAACGGAGAATTCTGCCTCTTCAAACAGCACTCGGACTGGCATGGACTCTGAAGGATGCAGCGAATATTCTGCGGTTGCAGTATGTTGCGACACTTCAGTACAATCACTGACCATCTAACCCTACGGTAATGGTTATCTCACTCACATATCCTTCACGGCAGAAGCTGTACTATGAAAGCTGTTGAGTATGTGTAAGCACAGATCTCCTGGAGTTGACAACGTCCACCCGAAGTCGCTTGCGTCGATAGGAGAGAGAGTAGCTGAGCCTCCGACTCGATTGTTCCAACACTGTTTTGACGAAATATACCCGCCCGACATGTGGAATTAAGGGATGATTACTCTAGTTCACAAGGGACATAGTCATTCCGATCCAGTCATGAACATTTATTTTTGGCATTGGCATGCATGGCTCAAGAACCGAGCATTACAGCAATACGCCAAGATGGGCAACAATTGTCCAAATAAAAATAGCGACACGGGTCGGAATTGTTCTCTTTGTCACAGTTACTAGCCACTGATTGTGTTTAAGTAAAGCTGGAGTAGGCCCCTCGCATCTACGTATCGTAAACACTCAGAGAGAGAGATATCGCATATATCA